GGTGGCCAATCTATTTGGTTTCATGTTATTGTCATCATTTTCTATAATGATAATCCTTGCAATTGATATAACGCCTTATCACATCTTTGAGACGTCTAAAAGTGCTTCACAGAATATTCTGTAAAGTGAATTGACTGTATATTTTATGGGCAAAACACGGCAGCCAATTGTGAGCAGCAGTGTCCCACAAACAGTCGTGGATTGAGTAACCAAATCATTTAAAAAAAATTTTTGAAGGAATTATTTTCCCTCGGAAAAGCGATGCACCAATCGACTAACAACTTACTGCTTGGTAAACAGAAGCATGTGGAGTAAGGAAATTTGCCCAACATTTAGCCCTCCCAGGAATCGAAACCAGGTCTCTCGCTTGTGAGGCAAGTGCTCTAACCAGTGAACTACAGGACTCACACATAATGTTGCAATCCTTTCATTTGATATAGTGCCTATAACATTAAAATCTAACAAAGAATTCAAAATTTATTTGGAAGGAATTATTATCCCCAGTAAAGCCATCTGCCAATCGACTAACAACCAGGTTCCTACTTACTGCTAAGTAAACAAAGGCATGTGGAGTAAGGAAATTTGCCCAATGTTTCACCCTGCCAGGAATCTAATCCAGGTCCACTCAGTTGCAAGGTGAATGCTCTAATCACTAAGCCACAGGACTCCATTATCGATCGAACACAAACTTACCAAGACTGGTGTGAATGTTCAGAGGAGACGCTTCTTGACAGAACCTGCCCACGGGCCGTAGCTTAGCCAGCAATGATCTAAGGTGATACTCCAGTGCAGGTCTGGACAACACTACATTGTTGGAAGTACCATCTTCTGAATGAGATTTTAAACCAAGATACGATTTACCTCTTCTCAGGTGGAATTCAGAGATCTCAGGGTACTGTTTGAAACGAGAAGGGAGTTTCTTGGTTGCCCTGACCAACAGTGCCTGATTCCACCTTAATTTATCAGTCACAGAATAAGTTACCATAGTCCCAATGCATGTAAAGTACATTGATGGTATTCAAAAATTGTTGCTGACCACTTATACTATTCAAAATGAAAAGGGAGTTTCTGCCTTTGTGTTGACTAACCGTTCCCCAGTAAGTTGATCATTCAAGTCATAGCTGTTTGTAGAACATTCCTGTAAGCAAACTGCCTGCACAGTCACATATTAATGCAACGTCACTACACTTTACAGAAATTCGGTGTGAAATACTTTGAGACATTTTGATGCTATATAGGTGCTATATCATATGCAAGGATTATTATTATTATTAATTATGGATAGTTACACTAGTGTAGATGAGTGCTGTGGCATGGTAAACAACTGTATCTCAATTGATTGTAACTGATGTAAAATTTTGGGAAACTTATTTAAATTGAAATAAGAAAATAAATGTATTCCCCGAAAACATTATCAGAACACAAGAGTGGTTTCCCAAGGCCAAATTTCAGAGCATTATGTGAAGGAAACTGTCCAGCCAACAAATATGAAGCATCAAATCTTTGTGAAACAGGGTGAGCATTTGTGAAAATAAACATTCTTCCATCTGCCGTTTGTTGTAAAATAAACAGATGGTCAAATTTAGTCTTTTTTAAAAAAAAACACGATGAGAATTATATTTCAGAAGAGGCAAAAAAAAATGCTATTTTAAATTGTTCTACTTGGGTCAAGTTAAATTTGTCAGGCTGGCTCAATTAGTAATATTCTTGCCTCTGATTCAGAAGGTTGTGGGGACTTGGACCTCCAATAGTCTAGGCTGACACTCCAAAGCAGTGCTGGGAATATGCTGGTTATTGGAGGTGCCATCCTTCGGTTGTAGCATTAAACCAAGTCTGTCTGCTCAGATGGATGTTAAATATTCCATGGTACTATTCAAAATAGAAGGAAGTTTCTTCCTGTGTCCTGTACACCAATCCCCTCAAAATGATATTGGTCATTCACTTTATGGGACATTGCTTTGTGCAAATTTGATGCCACTTCATCCACAAAAAAAACACTGTCACTATACTTTACATTAATTCCTGGCAAGCGTTGTGGGACGTCCTCCTGAAAGGGGCTATAACACATGTAAGGATTATTAATATTATAATATATAGGCACCAATTTCAATCATTCACTGCAGGTTTATCACCAGAAAAAAAAGGGTGAGGATAGCAGATGTTCTGATACCTTACAGTTTGTTGATGCTAAGCCCTTTAAAAAGCAACAACAAGTTGCACTTATATAGCGCCCTCCACACAAGGTAATGTCTCAGAGCGCTTAACAGTGGCAGAGCCTGACTCTGAGTCAGGGGAGGGGATGTGACCCATCTACCTGTCTTCGGTCATATCCTTTAATACTTAAGCTGAAGCTACAACCATCCAAATACCACAAGGGGAAACTGATGATATATAAATGCAAGTTGATGTTGTTGATGATGATTCCAAACAAGATGTAATGTTTCCTACTCTGAGAAGCTGCAAAAATAATAAGATCAAGCCACTGCTTTAAAAAACAATTGAGATTGCATGAAAAAATTAGGCTCAAAGAGAAAATATACTGGAAGAACAATGTAACATCAAATAGTGTTTTTCCCTGCTACAGATTGAGGATTGGTTGAAATGCTCCCATCAGTTGCTGTTACAGTGGTTATATTGTCCATCCAATGATGCATTGCTTGGCCTCAGATGCATTCCATTTAAAATTTGACCTTCTTTAACATGCCGGCGGGCTCTTGATTGTGTCAAATCCTCCTGGGTGCAGGATTCTAAGGGATGGACATCGAAAGCTGCAAAAGAAGCATCTGTCAGTACACTGAGTACTAGTGACAGAGCTTGTAATGGTAGCCTACACAGTATGTCCATCTCTTGAGACCTACAAGGTCAAAGCAATTGCTTAGTCCTGTGTACTTCAGAGACCACTACGCATGAAGATTAAGTAGTTAGTCTCCGTAAGAATCCTGCATTGGGAAACACAAAAAAAATGTAGTTGCTACTAGTCATGGGCACGAAACATATTGCTGGAATCTAATAGGATTAAGTATTTGATCTTAACAGTCCTGAATGCTTGGCCTCAGATCTTCCTCAAAATGTGCACTTGTGCAAAATGTGATTTGGTCAATTTTCAAAATTGTATTTTTCTTGACTGATGAGAGTTCAGCTTCCCTGCAACATTCATAATCTGTTAGACAGAGATCCAACCCTAAAATTCTTCACAGTATTAACCTTAAGACTGTAGTGTTAGAATTTAAAATGACAGAATTTTTTTTAACTCAGCTTTAAATTAGAAGCCAGTTCTTTTAATGAATTGCAGAACGCCAGCCTCTAAGTTTACACTGAATGAAAGAAGTTCTTAGCAGGTGATATGAGCCAGTCATCTAAACAAGGATAGACTGGAAAGTGCTCCAGTCAAAGGAAGGCTCCGATTACAATTACCTTTGGTGCTTTTAGAACCGTGTCCGTGGGAAAGGGCAGTACCCTTTCAAACTCACTCCTCACTGGTCTCTCCAGTTCCATCATCCACAAGCTCTAATTTATTAAAATCTCAAACCACCTGCATCCTCACGCAAATGAAACTCCCCACATGTTCCATGCCAGTGCTTGCCAGCTCCAGTGTCCTCCAGTGGAGCAATCAAGGATGAGTCCTCACCTTCACCTACAAATCCTTCATAACCCAGCAGCTCTCGACCAGTCCGAATTTTACCTAGCTCATTTCTCTGCTTGCACCCTCTGCTTGGCTAAATCAGACACATTGCAAGTCCATTACCCTCATTATATAAAGCGCTACATCAATGCAAGTTAGTGTTGTTTTGTTGTATTCTTCATTAGCATTAGTACATTTAATAGAAAGAAATTGTGAGAGCAGGCAAAGATCATGTGAGTATCAAGAAGCCCAAAGGAGATAGTCTGCTTATTTCTTCTATACTGTTACATAACATGGGTCTGTTATAGTCCTGTTGCTTAGTGGTTTGAGCACTTGCCTCACAAGCAAGAGTACCTGGATTCGATTCCCAGGCAGGGCAAAATGTTAGGCAACTTTCCTTACTCCACACCTCTGTTTACCTAGCAGTAAGTAGGAACCCGGTTGTTAAGTCACTCAAATCCACAGCTGTTTGTGGGATATTGCTGTGCACAATTGGCTGTCGTGTTTCACCCATGAAATATAATCAATTCACTTTACAGTATATTCTGTGAGGCGCTTTGAGACGTCTCAAAGACGTGATATGGTTCTATACCAAATGCAAGGATTATTATTATTGTAGTAAATGGTGATGATTACATGAATCTTTGATAATATATATAACTGAACAAGAAAAATAATGTTTGAATATACAAAATTATATTTGGATAGCGCCTTTCACATCGGGAGGATGTGCCAAGGCACTGCATAGATCCTTTTTGTTTACCACTTTTATTTTGAAGAGCTTTCAGCTAAATTTCATCATTAGAACACAATTGTACCCAGTATTACACCTCTGAAAATTATTCATATTTATGAGTGTCTTTATTTTTGTATTGCAGAGGCTGTGATCTAATCCTCTTGTTCATTATTGTTGCTGTTTGATTTCCTTCAAAATCACAAAAGCTCATATTTTCAGTGGAAACTATGAATCTGGAATGACAGTGAAATTGTCAAGTCACAGGATTGATAGCAATACCCACCATTGGTCAGACAATGTTTATAACAGCTTACATTGTTTTGGTTTACACAAGACTGAAAAAAAATCATTATGGAATCAGAATTAATTAAGTCAAATAGAAAACAAGGAAGAAAGAAATGGGTAATTTTCTATTTGGCCTCCAGCCTTTGCAGGTTGCCAGGAATGTGGTACGTTAATATAGCAGTGCTATGCTTTGTGCAGCAAATACTTGGTATATTTGGTTTAATTGTGCAATGCACTAAATTAATTACATGGTGTAAACAAGTGTGGTAGACAAAACATATTTAGGTTTATGACACTTCTCAAATCTTCATAATGGGCCACACACATACACAAGCAGCACAAAACAGAATGTATGGGATGATATTGATTTAATCTAAAAAATGTACAAAAAATACACTGATGAACAATACACAACATTTTGTTCATTAAGCATCAGATAAGACTTGGAAAAATATAGCACGTTCATTTATTTTAAAAAAAGTTTGGACCCTAAATGTCATTTTAAAACAGACAGAAAATACCATCTTACATGTAAAACAACAGAATACAGCACACATAAGTAACAACGCAAACTGCTGTAATGCTGCTCCTTCAACTTGCACCTATCTGTGTCTTTATGCACAATTAATTACTTTATCTAGACCAGGTATGGCATTTCTGTTAAGTCATTTTTATCAGTAAATGCATAAATTGAAAAGGATAGATTCCCAGAATACTACAGTACTTGATTTCCCATATTAAAACTAAATTGCTTACTACATTGACTGTTTGCATTTATATTGGATATGGTTCTTTCATATTCCCTTGCTGAACATGTACTGTCTAATTCCAGCACAGCTACCTGGTATAACTAATAAAAACCCAGGTGCTTTTAAAAAAGAAAATTACTACGTAAATTTGAATAATTTTAAAAGACTAACTTGAATGAAATAGGATCTCGCTTAAAATTACAGGTTTACTGGATGCATTACAAGGTGAGCCAGATGATATAAAAATTGATGTATTGGAAAATATTCCTGTGGTAAACAGAATCAAAATATAAACGTGCGGACGCTGAACAGTCGATCTGGCCTCCTCATAGTGCAATATTCATTGGTAAATTCCAGCTGAGTATTGTTTCAATGTGGTCGCTCCTGAAGAAGGAATGAAACATGACGGAAGCACGGCATCAATTAGTTTTCGTCCGGATCTAAGTCAAGGTCAACTTCCGTGGTGAGATTCAGGAAAAAGAAAGCGTAGACAACCAATACCAAAATCAGCACAGCTATAATGATGAGTGTCACATCCTGCAAAAGCAGAAAGACACACTGTCAATATTCCCTAAAAAAGCACATTTAAAAAAAATTGTCACAAAATATAATTCTGTTTTGCAAGCCTTTATATCATCAACATTGGGTAGAAACAAATACTCTTACAAAAATAGAAAAATATTAATATGGTACTTTCAGATCTTAAGGATTGAAATGTTTACGCTATTTAGTTCACTATGTACTTCTGTGTCAAACAACTTTCCCAAAGAAACAAGTCGCAAAAAAATAACATAACACAGCCAAAGTGGTCTCTGTTTAAACATGTGCTGCGGTAATTTTTCTAACAGTAGTAAATAGGAATATAAATTAATTTTTTTTACAGAAGTACCATATTTACAGCTCACACCTGTTATAACGCAGCATTTGGGGCCAATTAAAGGAGACCCTGCAAAATAACAGAGCATTGTGTTGCGATTCACCATCCCTTCTGCTGTTGTTGGGTTGACTACGGCTGTGCATCACACTCCAAAACCTGACTGATCAACAGCAAGTGCTCCCTCCCTCCCTCGGGCATTTCCAGTGATCTCTTGGGACATGCCGACCCCTGCGTGCTAGATGGAGGAAGCCGGGCAGTCAGCTTCACAAGTAGGAAGTATTCTGTACCTCAGTTTATTGGGGGACCATGGTTTACAAGCAAACTTCAATCTGGCCCCATGCAGTACAATGGGCCAGATTGAATTTTGTTTTGTCTATGAGTGTGCAATCAGGCTTCACATATCATAAAGCTTAATGTGCACCAATACCTCTAAATGTAAACACAACATCTTAAAAGCAAATAAAATATTTGTTGTGAAACTAATTAATTCTCACAGAAGTAAAGACGAACAGACCTGGATAGTCTTGTATGAGATATGTGTACTTTGACTGCAATAAATTATCACTGTTTGTGATGCTTATGATAAGTACTGGTGCTCTTCACATAATATTAAACATGGGACCTAATTAGCAAGAGTTGCAAAAGGATTTGCCACTAGCGAACCTAGCGGCAATTGGATGTGTCACCCATAGGTACCTGGATAGGTTGAAGGATGACCTGTTAATATTCTGCTCCGTTGGTGGTTTAATACAATTAATACAATTGTTCAAATTGACAGAAGAACAAACATAAATATTGAGTAGTGTGTGTGTGTTTTGGGGGTGGGGGGTCAGAGAGAAAGAGTGAATTTCATTTGAATTAGCTATACTGGTAATATTTTGTTTCAGGCGGTGAAGACACTATAAAAGTTGTGAAATCAAATACGAAATACTTTCCTATCCTTTACACTGATAGTTATTTGTTGTTTATTTTTTCCTGAAGAATGAATCTGTCACTTGTCCAAGAACAACATGGGTTCATTATCTTTTACTGTGATACAATGCCTGATGTATTATTAACTACTTTAAATAAAAGTTTATCTTTTAACCTTTGACAGTACTGTATATCATGCACCTTACTTTGAAACAACAGGAAAAAAAGGGGGAAAAATGTTAATTTCACCAGATAAGAAAAACATAATTCAGGAGGCTAACCATTCTTTGGTAGTTCTAATGATTGTTTTGTTCTACCTTACACTCTATGTGGAAATCCTATTATAAGCAGGAATGTACAACCTGCTAGAAATAGTTAAGAGAGCATCTTAGATGTTATATTTCTCTGGATAAAATATACACAAAGTGTTGGTCTAAACACTCCGGAAATATTGAGTGCAGATCCTTTGACCGTATGTCAAATGTAATGCAAAAATCATCCTTGCATTTGATACATTTATAAAACTGCCATTTTTCAAATGCTTCATAGGTAATCGCTGTTAAATGCAGGGACTATGTACTTCGGCACCCAAATTGCACACAGTGTAGTGAAGGACCAACGTATCTGGAAGATTTATTTTTAACGTATCTACAGAATTGTTGGCCAGTGCATCAAACAGCACATTTTGAATATGAAAATGCAATTGTTTATCTCCATCATGGGAAATGGCTTGAATGCAATGTTCAGGGGAAAAAAAACATTTTATTTCAATTAAAATGATGAAAATAACCTAGATAAACGTATTTTTCCATGGTAAGAAACAGAGTAATAATTTTTCCAAAATGATTATTTTTGATTATTTCTGTTATATTACACTCTGTATGTAATCCTGGTGATATTGGATGCTTTTAGTCTATTTCAGCTCAATAATTTTAACACTTGGTGAGCATTTGATTAGACCCAACAAAAGCTTGGGTGGAGTCCTGTAGCTCAGTGGTTAGAGCACTCGCCTCACAAGTGATAGACCTGGGTTCGATTCCCGGCAGGGCAAAACCTTGGGCAAGTTCCCTTACTCCACACGTCTGATAATAATCCTTCAAAAAAAACAATAATAAATTGGTCACTTCAATCCACGACTGTTTGTGGGACACTACTGTACGCAATTGGCCACTGTGTTTCGCCCACAAATATAGTCAGTTCGCTTTAGTCTATTCTGTGAAGCACTTTGAGACGTCTAGAAGACGTGAAAAGCGCGATATCAAATGCAAGGATTATTATTATTACTTTCTTGGCTTTTGTATTCTTATCTCCTAAAAATAATAGAATTTTCTCTCATTGACGCATGGCCTTCTTGGTCTTTGTAGTTGAGAGCTCCTCTCGACGTGAAAAGCGCTATGTTAATGCAATTTATACAATAAAGATATTGCAGCTTCTTGATAACACAGCGAAGGCAGGTTATGATTTTGGCAGCCAAGTTGTGGTGGCAATGCTCTGGATTCCCAGTTAGACGACAACGAGTTTGAATTGTGGATTTCACTGACGTTGGAACAAGCCTGCCCTCTTTGGGTTAGTTTCACCAGTTTATGCTGTGTGACCAGCTGACAAAAAGCATGGCAGTGGAACCCTAAACCTCGGAAAGGGTTATACGACCTTAGAATCAATAAGAATTTAAAGGACCAGCCTATCCTGGCCGATCATATATTGGTGCTGACCCTCGTAGAGAAGACTGTCTACTCTATAGTGAAAGTGTAGGAGTTGAGATATGGAACGTAAATGTAGGAAACAAAAAAAAGAAAAACAAATATACTGTGATTTCCCTCGCCCTTTGCAAATATCACCAAACCAATACTAAAGCCAAATTGATTCACATCAACTACATGCGATTTTTAATTATTAGGAATTGTTTACCCCATTTACTGGCAGTTTATCTATAACAAAAACATCTGCAGACTGTTTTAAGAGGTTTTTTTTTGTTCCGAACAAAACACTCCAAGATCTCAAGAGGCTAAGACTGTGCAAGAGAGGTTCCATTTATTTTCCAGTATCCACAGCTGTGCTCACAGACCCATCTGGCCACACAGCTACTAATCTTAACAGGATGTAATAAACAAGTGACACACAACTGTAAGCTCCATCTGCCGAGGCCAGTGGACAGCAGGACCATTTGAAACAACCACTGGCATCCCTAGCTACACCGACACACACAAATCCCACATTCCGATCGTCTCCACTGAAAAGCTTTTCTAAGATGTCTCTTGTGTTCCTCGATGTAGTAAAATATGATCCTGCTTTATTACGGCCTTAATATGACTAAAAGTGGTCCTTTGAAGAAAAGTGTCTTTTTGCCTCTATGATGCCACAAAAAATCTCACCGTAGCTGCCTTATATCAACTTTCATATGAGCACCCCAAATTAAAGATGCACTGATACGATGTGCAAAGATGTATACACATTGTGATGCCAGTAACAATTTAGGAAGCTATGGTTTTGCTGCTGAAAACAATGCTTATTTTTCCATCTTCACATTCCCTCTCAATATTTCTCTTCTGACCTCCTCCCAGTGGGGGACGGAGAGAGTATCTGGGACGTGGCCTTCATTTGCACAACTATTGTAAATGCTGACGTGAGGCATTTATATCGGGGGTGAACCTTCGATTAGGTTTGTGAATTGACATCCTTGGAAATAAGCGCCCTTCAATCCTGGCATTAAATCATGCAAATGAATGTTAATGTATATATACTATAGCACAAACAATTGAGATGCCATCCCGCTCATTTTGCCTAAAATACTATGAATATTTTTGTGTTATCACTGGTACCGAGTCCTAACTGTAATTTGTTCTCTGCTGAACTTGCTCATACTCCAGAAAGAAAACTGCAACAGCATTAGCTCTATGATTATTGGGTGTTATATCCAGCTGTGCATTTGCACGAAGAGAATGTGAAAGTTATTACTCATTTCCAGGTCATTAAAATGTAGCGAGAATCACATTTTTTTTCATAGTGCTAAACTGCATTTGCATCACACAATATGCCATCGCTACAGCTAAGGCCAAAATCATGGGGGTGAACATTGCTGTGTTGTACTCAACATGGCGCATTTATATTTTCTGCAACTCGCTGTATTCCTTGTTTCGGTGGAATTACAACAGTGAAGTTTCTTTATTCCTAATGCAATTTTAAAGCATTGAGCAATAAAGAACCTTTATACTGAACCAACCCCTAAATTATGTAAAGACAAGATGTCCTGCCTCTTGGGACTATTTTCATTTTCAAATGGAGAAAGTGCAGAAAGTAATCCATTCCTTCCAGACTTTCCTTCACTGTATTTTTTTCTAATTCAGTACTTGCATTTGCAGTGTTAATATTAAGGATTTCCAGGTCAGGTCCAGCATGGCTAGATGTATTGTTAGGTACAGCGTATAGCCCTTCCGTTCTACCCTGAAATGTATCTCGGAAAACAGCTCTTGCTATAATCTGGTGTAACGGTTTTTCCTTTCCTACACCAGCAATCCTGTGTCCTGTCTGAGAGGCTGCCAAATTTATCCCAAATTAAAAGCTGTTTTGTGCTATAAGTCTATGTCCACTGGGAAATGGTGGAGACTGCGCAAACTAGTTCTAGTTTCACATAGGATGCCTACAGCCAACAGACAAGATGACTCTAATCCCATCTGTCTTGAGTTACATTGGACCCCAGATCCCATCAGTAAAATTACAACAAGTCGTATTTATAAAATACCCTTCACAT